TAACAATTATTTTGCAAAATGATTAATCTTTTGATTACTTCTTTGATTTAATTGATTAAGATTCGGCTAACCAAAGGCTTCTTAAAGAGGAATTTTTGCACAATTAAACCAGGTGAAACTTAATCTTTTCCACTTGAGGAGTTCTGGAAAGAGAGTATTGAAGAATGAAAAAGTTTTTTTTACCTTAAATACAAAATGTTTATATATATATATATATATATATATATATATATATATATATATATATATATATATATATATATATATATATATTTTTTTTTTTTTTACAATCTTAATATAATTCCGGCTTATGGTGGGTTGCTCTGTCAGCTAAAGGCATGTTCAACGATTAATCGATTACTAAATTAGTTGACAATCATTTTTAATAATCAATTAATCATGATTAATACTATTAATTGTTTCAGCCCTATCTATCACCCTTCTCCAATTGATTTTTTCCCCTCTGTTTTGCTTGCTGTTTCACCACCCTGCCCTTAGCATTTTCCCCCTGTCCTTTCGTAGCTCTGGATCTTTCTGTTTGTAAGTCTGTCCACTTCCTTTTATGTTTCCTGTTGTCCTCTTATGCCAAGCTGTAAGTTGCATTTTGTTATTATTAAAATATCCTTCAATGCATCCTTTTGTTCTGGTTTGCCTTCATTTGATCCATCTGCTAACTAAACATGGCAGTGGAGCCTGATAACAAAAACATCTGCCTCCCATTCTACTTTAGAAACTGCTTAAATATACACCAAAAGTTTGGAATTTCAGCCTGGATTTATCTGGAAGCCAATAAAAAGAAGCTAAAATTAGACAAACAGAATCTCTGTTTCAAAGTCTGATGAAAACTCCCATTGCAGCATGTTGAATACATTTGAGAAAGTGTTCCAGCTTTTCTTAGCTTTGTCTGATAGATTTATTTCTATTACATGGTTGTGCTTTTCTGAACAATAAATTCTAATTGAACTAATTCGCTGTTTTATTGCACTAAATAATGGCTATTTTGGATTCCCTTGCAAGAGATTTTTAAAGCTCAATGGGATCTTCCTGGTGAAGTAAAGCCTTGATAGTAAAAATCATCCCCCAGAACAAAGCTGATATGGACATACGGTATATTAACGCAATATATATAAAAGAAAATATCTGCTGTCATTTTAACTATCATATCATACGAAATTATTGTGTCATCATCTGAAATGTTTTAAATCTGAATTTATTTCTAAAGAGAACTAAATTTTTAATTATATATAAATGTAACATATTATTATATAACCTATAAAACCTATTAAAGGTACTAATATAAAGATTTTCTTTAAACATTAGCTTGTTAAATTGATTTGTACATGAGAAACACCCAGATTTTTTTCTTAAAAAAAAAAAAATCAACTAACAAAATGACAATAGAGAATATCAAAAAACCTGGGTTAGTCTTTAAAGTTTTCTGAATGCATATGAGCAGTAGTTGCCATTGTGACAGATAGCCAAAGTAAACATTAGCTTTCATTTCTATTCTAATTGACCAGTCATAAATCCACTTTATTTTAATGTCATAATTAAAAGTGTTTTATAAAACAATATATTTGTCAAAATCTACAAAACCTATTAATATTTCATTGTGTGGCTATTCAATTTCAGGGAAATCTTCTGAGCATGTAGTGAAGGAATGCAAAGTGCATCAAGAGGGTGTGGCCTAAAAATCCAAACAGGAAGGTGTGTACATTATATGCTCTACATGCATATGAGAAAAAGATATAATCAGGTTTTAATCCTTTTATTATACTTTATTCTACTTATTTTACTGGCAGCTGATTTTTTTTTTCCTGTTTTTAATGGAAGGGTATGTACATTTTCAAACATAACTGTTTATCTAAAATCCCTTTTAAATTGTAAATTCTCAGTTTATTTCCATTTGCTCTCATTCCTGTTTATTTCCATAAACTCAAAAGCAAAATTTCCAACATGGATAATTCAAACAAAGAGTTTTTAAGCCTTTTCAGACAAAGATGTTTTGGATGAAAATAGGTCGTCTTTTGAAGAGGTGGATTGACGAAACAAGTTTGTGTTAAATATGAGCATCGTCACTGAGGAAATCCTGCGCAACATCACAGGCTCTCTACTGATGTTTTGAATGAGTTATAAAAATGTGGAATACGCAGATCAAGGTTACATCTGGTTGTTTGACGTTGATGTGTCCTTCCCGCTCTGAGCTTTGGTTTCTGAACAAGAATTTAAATCAGTCTCAGGTGATTAGAGAGAATAAAGATGCAGCCAAATAAACATGGCCTACTCAAACTGTTCACAAAAAATTCTACATGTGAAAGAAATTGAAAAGTATTCCTATACAAATCATTATCCCTATGTTGTTGATATTTGTTTGTGGATATATATATATATATATATTTATATATATATATATATATATATATATATGTAACATGAAAAACAAGCACAACCTAAAGGTTTAGATGTTTTTTTTTTTTTTTATAATTAGTGATTTGATAAATTGATTATAGCAGAATCAGCTATAAATCTTACAACATGTCATGTAAAATAAAGAATATGAAGTCCATTTTCTGGCTGCTCTGGTGGAGCTTGAGTGAACCTTATTATCTGAGCTCATCTGTTTTCCGTCATTGCATTTTTGGAGTACATTAGAGAACGTCATCATCTGATTTCTGCCGGGATGTGTGCTGCTTCCCATTCACTCGCGATGATGCAGAAGCAGCTTAACGTTAAACAGTTAACAGTATTTGGTTTGAAAAAACTACAACTGATCATCTCCAGGAAGCTATTTCTTCACTATTCAGTTAAGCATAAAATTTTTTAATTTGTAGATTTTGCTAAATGCATTGATTGAACGCTTGATAATCTTTCTTTAACATTTTAAAAAGTTGATTAAATTTAGAATCATTGATTTATTAAATTCTAAAACTTTTAGGTTAGTATAAAAACAAGTCTTATCAATACAAGTTAATGGACACAGGAAACCAAACGCCTTTGACGTTGATAACACTTTAATCTTAGAGTCCACGATAAATGCTTTAATAAACAACATTCATAAAGTACAGAAATAACATTTAAAGCTTTTGTCAGCCAAAATATGGGGAAACAAACAACCCTTCTAGTCAGATTTTTCAAAAAAATAAACATAAATATAGACAGTAATTGAAGACCTAAGAAGAAACAGGCAACAATCTTCATCTTACTTTATTTGGGGGTTTGTGAATAATTGAGCAATTCCAATTTTTTTGCCTTATGACAAAGCCTGCAGTTGTTGTTTTTTTTAAATACCTCACCAACAGACATCATTCTCTCTCCAATTTGCTCTTACTCAGCTTTAATCTCTTAGCCCATACTTAAAGATAAAAAGGAACTGTCTGCCTTAAGCTTTTCTCCTTTCACACATTCCTTTGAGTCTGTTATACAATTGATGGTCAATGATTTATTGTAATTTACTGACTCATGAGTCTATTGGATGGAAATAATATATACCAGCTGTAGCATAGTTAGGTGGGTGTGATAAGGATGACAATATATATATGTTTTCATCTAAAAAAGAAGGATTTAGGATATACTTACATTATTTAATAAAAAATTAAACTTTATGTTTATAGCATTGAATCCCAATAATTTATCGGAGAATCTTATCTGGCCATGCGGCGGGGCAGAGTAACCCAGAGCTGAAATGGTTTATCTCACCTGTTGAAAGTGTTCAATTTAAAACAGAACAATAAAAACAATGATGGGTTGCTTTCTGGAATTTTCAAAGTCAAACATTTCTCCTCATTGCTTTATTCTACTTTATCGGCAAGTAAACATCTGCAGGATCTTTTCCTTGCACAGCTGAATGACAGCCCACAGCAACAATTACAGGTAAGAGCAGTAGCACTGTACTACACTCTGTAGGAATTAACAAATTTACACCTTTTATAATATGCTTTTAAAAACAGTTTAGGGTAAAACTTCCCAAAAGCGTTATTAATTGAAAATGTGCATTCGGTTTGTGCATACAATAATGCCCAATACATAAAATAATTAGTACTGTGTGTATTTCAGTGGTATTTGTAAATGTACATATACATAGAAAAAAAAACTAGCATGTATGGATTTGTTGTACAGTATCATAACTAGATTTTCTGTTTAGAACATTTATGACAAAAAAAAAAAAGGAAATAGCATAGATCACAAATCCATCTGCACTTTTTGGCACCCTTGGTAAGAATAAGAAAAAGTTTTTTAAAAAATCCTTGTTTCCAATGGTCTATTTTCACAGCCATCTCCAAATATATTACAAATATAATGTGATATTTTTATTTTTTATTTTTAGCACAATCAGAATAGCCTAAATGCTTTAATGTGAGGAGAATATATTAAGGTATACTAGCTAAAAACCCGATGAAAAAAATCCATCAAGTCTACTATTAATTATAGTGGAAGATCTGTGATGTTTTGGAACAATTTTTCCTCTAGAAGTTCTTGGATCATTGTTTGAGTTCCATATTTTTTTTAGAGAGTATGACATTAAATAAAACGATCACCAAAACAACACCAAAGTAGAAGTAGAGGAAGATTAACGTTCAGTGCAAGATACTGCATGTTATAATATGTACTGTATAATCCCAAATTTTGGAATGAGTTCCATGACTGATTGTAAATGCTTAAAAATTGAAACAGCAATCCACCTCCTCTGTCCAGTGATGTTCTTTGAACATCAAAGATGTTAAAAAAACGGGTCCTTAACCCCTTTTTCTAACCATCTGTCCTCTCTGTCCAAAATTGGAGCATTTTGATCTTCAAAGGTGTGTCTTTTGTTCTTGAGATGCAAATGTGCTGCTGAATCTTGTCCAGAGTTACAGACTCTCCTCTTGCTGTACCATGTGTTCATCTAGCTGTTTTGGTTTCTCCAATATAGGAGGCTGTACAGTCCACACTAGATCGCATTAACCATGCTTCTCAGCTTTGGTTTGGGTGTTCTGTCTTTAGGATGAACCAGTCTTTAAGTGTTGCTGGGTTGGAATTTCAGAAGTATGTTTTTTTTGGTTTTTTTCTTAGAAAACTTTCCTGTGCTTCTCGGAAGACTGAGAATTTACACAGACATTATACTGGGCTTTGATTTAAGGCCTCTTTCACAACTGTACCAGTGGTGGCCATGAGTGTGGCTCTGGTTTTGTTCAAGAAAAGTTGGCAGAATCCGTCTAATATTAAACTCCAGAGCTTGTGACCTGTAGCTTAAAAGGGTCCTTTATCCAAATGCCTAAATTGTCTTAATTCTCTAGATCAAGCAGTCATGTGGTGTGCCGAATTAAACAAATATGAAGAATGTTAGCTGAACCAAAATGTATATATTCTTGAGGGATTAAATATCTTTAGAGCTTCAGGGATGTTCTCAGTGTTGCTGTTGGTATTCTTGCATATGTTTGATGTCTGCAGTTGGTGTTGAGAGTATAGGTAAAATCTCAAGCAGCGAGGATCTATTTTCTTTATTCTGCGATTGTGGGATGTTTTGGCACAGTCAACGTTTCTGTATGTTGATTTCCACCTTCTGTTGTTGGAACATTTGGTTCTGGCTGGTTGTCTCCCATTAGTTCAACCAATACTATTGGCGGGTTCAAGCGATTCTCTGGATGACTTTGCTGTGGTGATCGTGAAGATGGCCGAGGGGAGCCCCTAGGGGAATGTCTTGGAGAAGCTCGAGCTAAAAGCCGAAGCTGCTTCTGCTCCTCCTTCTCAATTTTCCTCTTCTCATACTCCTCAGCGCTATTCAGAGGTACCAGCACTTTAGCTGTGTTATTGAACAGGTTATAATCCACCTTGTAGTGCTTGTTAGTGACCCTGATCATCTCCTGAAAAAGGTGACCCCAGAGGATCTCATCTGTTGTGTACGACGTCCGGGTCTGATGCAGCATGCCAGTGGAGTCATCTGTGTAGGTGAACGAAACCAACAACTCAAAGTCTGCCTTTCGTAGGTCTTCCAAACTCATCTTGTACAGTGGACTTCCAGACTCAATCCGGTGGTAAACGGTGGTTGGTGCGATCAAGATTATGTCCTTCTGCTGAAGTGACAGGTCTTCATAGGTCACATCGACTTTTCCAGTTGTGTGCACTGTAGTGCGAAGAATCTGAGCACAGGCGCTTCCCTTCACCATGTGGTGCCTGCGAAAGTCTCCAATCCTCCATGAAAGACACAGAAAACCATCCCGAAGGTTGATGACAGCACGGTTGCTGAACCCAACTGTTTGCGCCCTCTTTCTGGCTGAGGCCATTTTGGCCACTACAATTCCAATGACAAAAGTGTCAATGAAGCAGCTGATGACGTCCTGTATGGTGACAATGATGATGGCGATCATGCAGTTCTCAGACATTCCTCTAAAGCCGTAACCAATGGTTGTCTGGGTTTCCAGAGAAAAGAGGAAACTGGCTGTGAAGCTGCGCACCTCAAATACGCAGGGATCATTGTTGTGGTCTCTGACATCTCCATGAACTAAGGCGATGATAAAGAAGAGGATCCCAAAGAAAAGCCAGGAAAGGATGTAAGACAGTGCAAAGATCAGAAACATCACCCTCCACCTGATCTCAACTAAGGTGGTAAAGATGTCAGTAACAAACAGCATCCATTCTTCTGGGACGTGGCGAAACAGAAAACGACAAGTGCCCTCTTTACGTATGTAGCGCGGTGCGTTCGGACGTTGTTCATTTTCAGTCTTCACACTTACTTCTTCAAAAGGGTTCACTGACAGATATTTAGGCATCTTTTAGAGCCTGTGGAGAATACAGAAACATCAGTGAAATTAATTGGCTGAGATGCATCTAATAAAATAAAGGCAGATTTATTTATATTGCGCTGTTCATTAACAAGGTAATCAAAAGCACTTCATGGGACACTAAAAGAAAAGGAATAAGAAAGAAAAGGCATAGATTGCATGAGAAGCATTTTTAAATTATTCACCAAAGATACACAGATTTTAAACATTTGTTTCTTCAAAAATTGCAATCCATATAATTAAATAAACATATATATTTGAAGAACCTTTGAATGGATTGTGTGCTATTTTTTTTTTTCAGTAATTGTGTCTTCATTTGTGTCAGCAACAAAGATGGATGGAAAACACCACATAGCTAACGCTGAACTCATTCCGAACTCCAAAAGGTAAGGTAAGGAAAGGGTGCTGATGCTGACCTCTTTCACATATTAGATTTTGAAACTATTTTAACTGGGCTCTATGTGAGAAAACGATTCGGAAATTGATTTTACTCAAAACTGAATTAAGAACATTATGACTAGAGCTCAGCAGCTTACCACGTTGTGTCATTGTTAATCTCAACTTAAAGTTAAACAGCATTCTTAATTAAAGGTCAAGCTTCAAAAGACTCTACAGACAGAAAGCACAGCAAAATGAAGGATCATCAGAGGAATGATTTCTATCTATCTAGCATATGTATATGTATATGTGTATACATACATACATCTATATATGTATGTATATTTATATATATGTGTGTGTGTATATATAACATGTTGTCTGTTTTGACTAACTGCAGTGTGATTTGTTGGTTTGCAGCCTAACTGACCCCAAACATGGTTGGGTCAGATGAAAGCAGGTCATGGAAGCCAGAGCAGACAGACAACTCAGCAGACGAGCCATCTGATTTCTGACCTAAATCAGGCATTTGCCAGGAGATATATGTGTTAACTTTAAAACCTGTTTATACATTTGCTCTGTTTCAAAAGAAAGAATAGCTTTATAATCAGAATAATATGTATATATAGATATCTAACTATATAGTGTATGAGGAACATTTTTAATACTTTAATACAAAAAAGAAACCATATCTTTCAACAAGAGCAGCACCTGACAGGAATAAGCTGTTTTTAACACGGGTCATTTCCAAGTTTTTGCTACCCCCACCCATTGATACTGCTTTTATTTTCAAGACTGCGATCTGGAAATGTTTACATGAGTAATTCTCCTTCTCTTTCCATTAATAAGTTTGATCTTAATGGGGCAGTTGCCTGGAGATGGCAAACTCATAAAAACAGTTCGTGTTTGAGTTTCTCCTCATCTCTTTTCCAATTATGTTGCCGTTTGGTCAAAAGAAAATAATCAAATAACAAAGGACATGATGCATTTATTGTCTGTATTGTTGAGTTTATCATAAAAAATGGATAGGCAAAGTGGCCAAAAAAGAGAAAAAAAATTTATAAAACCATTAAGTAGTACAACAAGCACCACTAAACAATGACACTTCTGTTAAATATGTTACACATCTAACTAATTAAGAAATTGTATTTATTTAAAAAAGAAATACAACTTAAAATGTTTATGTTGGGTTGCGTAACATTAATTTTTTCCTTTTGCTTTGGCGCAAAAAGGCAGTGAGTTCCTTTGACAAAATTATTTAGATTACAGTATATTCTGGACTGTTGAGCTCACCTCACTATAAGCCACGCCCACTAAGTTTTTTGAAAAAATTGGAAACATACATATAAAAGCAACACCGGACGAAGAAGGATGGTAGCTCCTGCTAGTGGCTGGCTCGCAGCAATGAGAGCTTCTACCAGTGTCAGACTGGGACAGATTTTCGGCACTGTTATTTTTCCATCTACACCGGCCAACATAGGCGGATCTCCGGGGATGGCATAGGGTTGCAACTGCCACCCTAAACGACAGCCTTGCCACCCCTGCTGCCACCCCAGTTAGCTGTAGGGGTGGCGAGGCTTATAAATTATGGATGATTTGAGAACTGCGACCGCTACTTTCCAATGTCGGACTGTAGTGAATGCAGCACGAGATTACACAAGAGCGATTGAGACCGATTAGTTTTGAAAACTGAGCGGGGAAAAGCGAGGGAGCCAGGGGTGATGGGTGACACAGGATGAAACAGGTAAAAACTGATTAACTATCGAGAAATTAAATCATAATGAAAGCACAATGTTGCTAGCATAGCTGCAATGCTGAGTTTGAGATGATAAAAATCAGGTTGCAGAACGGTATTTCTCCAACTATGATGTTAGTTAGGCCTGACGTTTCAGGCTCATAAAGACATATTTGCGGTCAACTATGACAGAAAAGAGACTTTCAAGTTTGGTTGAACTCAAATCAAAACGCAAAAAGGCATTGGATCTAGATAAATTTGTGAAGCGTGTTGCTGAGCAGCATGGAAATCGCCGCATTCAGCTGTTATAGTCATTTTAACTTTTTGTTATGCTCTCTGGTGAGCCTTTACAGAGCTGCTACATTTTGTTTTGGAACCAGAGAAAATCTGATATTTCCTTTAATAAAACCAAAAGTGTTAAAAGTACATTTAAAAATGTGATAAATGTAAATCCTGCTTAATATGAAGCAGTGTTGTTTCTTTTCTTTTTTTTTTTTTTGTATATATAGTATGAAACTATCCAGAAATTACCTGTATGAACCTACTCACAAAATGTTTTGTTCTTTTACAGATTGGAAGCAAAATTTATTTTTATGTTGCTTCTTTTCAGATTTGTGGAGATTTTGATGTAACATACAGTACCTGCTTTTTTGTTGATTTGTTGATACAGCAGCTCTATCTACAGCATGTTAACATGCATGAAATGTCTCTTTCATGTTGCCTTAACTGCTGTATGTCAAGTTACTGAGGAACAAATAGGGTAAATGTGTGTTCAGAGTCAACAATACATAGATGTCCGGTACCTTGTTTGGGTGCCTTTACATTTATTTCTATTGTGTAGTAATGCTCACTTTAGTACAGCTCAGTCCATACTGTAGATCTCTGATGGGAAACTTTTTCTTTCTATAGTTTCTTCTTGGTCAAATGCGTCTTGGTCTAGAAGTAGTGTTATCATTCTTCTATCTCCTATTAGGTGAGATCTCATTGTACGATGTATTTCTAATATGAACTGCTTCACATGAAACACATATTGTACATACTATTCTCACCAAACTGTGATAACTGTGATTAAATTCAGTGTAAAAAAAATGCCATATGTTGCCACCCCTCAAAAATTCCTGCCCCCCTCTCGCCACCCCATAAATATTTTTCTAGATCCGCCCCTGCCGGCCAACAACCCGGTTGAAGATAGATCAGTTGTGGATTAACCAACCTATCTTCAACATATGACAACCATCACCAAAACTTCTATAATGCGGTTTTACTAGCTTTGGTTATTAACACGGACGCAACAGTGACTGTTGATGCATAACGTCCACACTTGCACGAAGCCAGCCAGACACCCACTCACACATACTAGGTCTACAACTTAAGCCCGAGTGTTGTAAAAACACCAACATAAAACAATACAATGTAGAGGCAGACAGGCCTTCCAATTGAGGAAGTGTTGTGGTAATTGGCAATTAAATGGAATAATGTAAACAGATGCAAAGCCCCATCATCCACCGCAACATATTTTTGCAAAATATTCTAACATAAATTCGCCAAATATAGGAGGAACATCATAGTTCTTTATTCTTTCATCTCCAACTTTGACTTCCCCCTCAGGCGGTTAAGAAAAATCCCTAGAAAAGCTGCCCCTTCTTATAAGCCGCATGGTTCACAGCGTGATAAAAAGGTACATGCTTATAATCCGGAAAATACGGTACATAGTTCTGATTAAATAAAGTACATTTACTAAAACAATGTAAAGTAAATGAAAATATATTGGATGAAAAAATTTGACATTTTGAACAAATAAAATAATAAAAAAATTTTAATTATAACATTTTTAACATTTAATAACTTTTAAAAGCATAGGTTTGTTTTTCAAAAGCGATAGCCCAAGACCCTTTTGGAAGGTCAGAGGGTTGTAAGAGGCACAATTTAAAAACAACAATAATTTAAGCCTAGCACTTTACAGGTCTTATTAGGCAGGAGGAAAAAAAACATGTGGAACCCAAGTTGGTGTCATAGTGCAATCACTGGCAGAAAATAGATCAGTACCACCCAAACCACTGAGAGCATCAACCACGCCTGAAACAAATAGGGTTTGAATCACCAGTATCAGACTGAGTGAACTGCGGCTCCAATCTATCTGGCAACAGCAAACATTTACACTGCCAGAATTCTGAGCTCGTTCCATGAGGTCATGGAAAGTTATTCATTCTAGCTTCCTATAATCCTCTCTAAAATGCCCTGATAAGAATGAAAATAACCAGAATAATCAGATCATCCAAATGGGAAACCTACAGAAGTTGAGTAGCTGTTTTTACATTTTCAAACATGCTACCAATATTTTAGGCAATATCCACACTTCCAAAGGGGCTTTAATGTTTGTTTACGCTGTTTCTTTAAAAAAGCAAACAGTTTATGACCAGAGATTATAGAATACAATAAACATCAACCGACAAATGGTTAAAAAACCTGAAATAATAAATAATCACATTTGGTTTAGATTTCACCCACATGAACAATAATCCTTTGTTTACATATGAGGGCAGATATGTTGTGACTCCTTGTAATGACGTAACGGCACTATATTATGCACCTTATGACTATGGATCAATGGGAAAAGAAGTGTGCTAATTCAGAAGTTGTCAGTTTGATTCTAGCTTCTTGCACTACCACATGTCAATTTATCACAGTGTTTACAAGTGTATAAATATGTGCGTATTTGCAAGTGAGACTGTGCAATTGTTGCTCTTATCTCGAGTAGTTTAAGTGGTCAGCATTAAAGCTGTAAATGGCAATATAGTGATGCTTAAAAGTATAATGTTCTCTTCTCAAGTTATCTTAAAATGTACTTTTATTCAACAATAGCAACAGAAAAAATAACTTTTAAC